AATTCGAACCCGCAGATTGCGAGTCGAGCGCCCTAACCACCTGGCCATGCCGGGCCCATTCTCATTATAGCGTAGGCGGAGCTGTAACCGTTAAAGGTCATTGCTTTCGACATTCTTACGAAACAACGTATTGAGCAATGTTCTCCTAGGGTGATAACAGGCATTACCTACTTCGAGAACAACAAAGCAACTTGAAACAAGATCAACGTAATGGTTTTCTTGACCACGTGTTATGCGAAATCTGCACACATTCAGAACAATAATGAATTCAGAATAAATACTATAATAAAATAGAAACACATGGTACGTTAAAACACCATAGTGCATTCAAATACCACAAAATCATATGACAATATGTGTGGAATGCTCAAAGAGTCTTCGACAATTTGCAAGTCTGGCTTCACTGATTTGAAACTTTGCAAAATTTAAAAAATACGCTGTTAATTATTAATGATCTGAAAATTTAATATATTACTATATAATGAACAGTTAGGGAACCAATTGTAAAGATGGTGATCTTAAAGTGGAATTTCAAAGAGCATAAATACAATAGGTGATATTCATTTAAGCAACAAATACTTATTTTTTATTGTTTTTTTAACGGAACTTTAAAAATTTAATACGTGAATTACATGTTTTGTAGAATAATCAAATGTAAATGGTAAGTCATTTGTAAAACTTGTTTTGAAATAGGAACTAGCAAACAGTTCAGATACTAACACACCATAGATGAATGTTGCCCTCCAGTGGCATAGCGGTATGTCTGCGGACTTACAACGCTAGAATTCGGGTTTCAATACCCGTGGTGGGCAGAGAACAGATAGCACTTTGTGTAGCTTTGTGCTTAATAACAAACAAAAAAAAATACTCTTCTGAATGTATTTGCTCTATCGTATTTCAATTTTATATAATTTACATCGGCAGACTTCCGCAAACGTATTACGAAATAGCATGACATCAACGTTGTGAACAAATTAGAAAACTCAAAATACCCAAATACACTTTTTTCTTTTTTTTCTTTTTTTTACACTCTCTATATTTCCTTCTAATATGTTATCCGCGTTAATGAAGATTGTCCACGAAGCCTCCAGTGATATTTGTTTTCACTGTAACGATAGGCTTTACATTTAATTATATCTTGAAATTTTTCTCCACTTTCTTATGGTTATTAGCTTCGGGCAAAAGCCGTATTTCACTGAAATATTTTTTTTTAAACAAAACATCATTTTTCTTACTTGAAACACATGAATGAATCCAAGTTTTATTTATTATCATGTTCGGTGCGTTCCTGAGATGTAATTAATGATAAAATGCTGTTAATTTACTGCCACAGGCTAAAACGATAAAAAATGCCACGTTCTTCAGAAAAAGAAAAGGATGAACATAATTTGATATACAGATACTGTACACAAACTGTTGTACTATTTCTTACAATATCTGTATGATAAAAATGAACATTGAAATAATCTTTGGGGAAACTAACGTATTATACTTACATAAAAGGACCTTATTTAATGAGTGAGTACTATGATAATTATAATGTATGTGCTGCTTACTCAATAATAATTTAGATGCTACATATACATTATCTAAAATAATTACTTAAGTTCGGTGAATAAAACCACTTATTTCGTACAATACGACAGAGTATTTAATGACATTAAATATAATCATATTAGCATCATTCACTGCATACATACTTACTAATTGTATAACTATACATGAATCTACAAGTAACTAAATTACTAGAAACTGAGTAAAGCCAAAATCAAGCTTTGAATTCGAAATGTATATCCTGTGGCAATTATAAAACATAAATTATAAGAGAGTAGGTGCGTTTCACAATGCCTATATAAATATATGTATTATCATTCCTACGATTTAAATATACACTTTGTACGTTCTACACATCCCATCGTTATTATCTAAATGTACGCGCATGTTTGAATTATTAGTGCTTATACTGTGAAGGTAGTGTGAAAATTGACATAATATACATAGATAAATTATAATCACACGGGTAATAATATCGTGTTCAGTGCCAACATGTTTGTTTAGCTTTTCCACCCAAAACTCGTCATAAAGTAGCAAGCATTTGCTAAATTATAATACTGCATAATTTCCTTCAAGAATCTTGTAGAATACTATAAATATAAGATCAGAGTTACATATGGAAACAATTAATATTCATGATATAGTTGGTGTAAGTTTTCTATAGTCATGAACATTACGAGAATTATTCAAGTTAGAGATTGGCATGTAATTAAACCAAAATGCTTTCCAACAGAACATGCGTTAACCATTAATAAAAACCGTATTATATTGTCCTATGTATGTGATGTTCGTTCTTTTATACCCGTATTCCTGAAAAAGTAATTTAAGTACAGTGACTAATGTATACAAATTAGCATCAATGGCATACATTTCAACCTATAGTCAAGCTACTAATAAGTAACTTTGTTAACTAAACGTACGGTTAACTTTGAGCTATGAAAGCAACATCAAAATAGTGTGATGTAAACTTCTGTAGAAAAACAAAACAAAACATAAACGATTTGGATGGTTTCGTCGCGAGTAGTTAATTCACACATCTCTTAACTAAAGAACCAAGTTCTATTTTCAATTTATAATATCATCACTGACTTTAAGCGTTTGTTGATACTCGTATATTTAATGTATTTACCTTCTAAGGCCAATTTCTGTTTGTTTTTTCAACATATAATTATATTTATTTTACACTATAAAATAATTAAGGATGTAGACCTTTTAAGAACGGTTTTAGGGCTTTTTGAATTTTCGTTGAAGCATGGCAAATGTTTTATCCTTTAGTCCGTCTTAGAGAACTGTTAGCTACTACCACTAATGCCCTATTAAAACGCAACACAGAAATATCTTAGGATATAGCAAAAGCTATTCAAGTTAATTTTAATTGTTATATATTTTATAGTGCCGCCAAATAAACCAAGAATTACAGACGAAAAGGGAGAGGTAATCCTCACTGTTGCTGGCCCATACAATGAAGGGGATCGTTTGGTATTACTGTGTGAAAGCGAAGGAGGTAAGTTGATTTCAACTTTATCAACTTCGTTAGGAACTGAAACATTACAAATCCGAAAAGCAAAGTACTTGTATTACTGTCTAGGAAGAGTTCACATTATTTTGAACATTTCTAAACACGAGGGAATCCTCAATAGCCGCGGCACATGAAATTATTCTTGGCAGGATTAGAGTAAATTAATCTACGAGATTTTTTTTTTTTACACCAGAAATACCAAGCGTGGGGCGCGCGTATACCCGATTCAGTATTACTCATCAGGATCTCTACCAGCCTATCCTCAAATTGAAATCCTTTTAGGCAGGATTAGAGTAAATTAATGTATGAGACCTCGGGCGTGGTCAAATACGTCAATCGAAAGGGTATGATCTCCTGAGGCCAAAAGAAGAGTAAAAATCATAAATTTTATTATCTATTATCATATATGGAATTTTGCAACTCATAACAATTATATCTCTAAATACTCATTTCTAAGTTGTAGTGAACTCTGTATCTAAACGATGTAGTTTTGATATGTTAATTTGTTACATAATTACGAAACAAACAGTCACTATTATTGACAAATGTTAAATACTAAATAAATGCTATCACAGAAGTGATATTATTTACAATAATATTATCAAAAAAAAAAGATGGAAGGACGGGAATAAATAAGTAAACAAGTGAGAAAAGTCTTTGGAAAAGAAAAAGTTTAAAATGGGTCAGATAATGTTAAATAGGTAGATACTGAAGCTTAAAATGAATTACAATAATGAGCAGAAGTTCAATATATCGACAAACAACTTAACTAGGATAATTTAAATACCATCTTACTTAATAAACCAATAAAATAGGTTCAAATTATAAGCAAAGTAGTCATAGACAGCATAACAGACGATGTAGCTGGTAACATTGCTCCAGGGTTTTTAACTCGACTACATTCGAGCGACTTATGAAATAATCTAACTGTCGTTATCGATTTCATGCTAGTGAAACAGTCCAAATGACACAACAGATGGGATACGCAGGCGCAAGAAACCGTTATAAAACGCGATATTATCGAATTCGAGGATGAATCAAAACAACCCTTATACACATTAAAAATGTCTCAGGAAGAAATCACGTTTGTACAAAAACAAAGGGTTAGAAAAACTTGCAATAAAGATAATTCTCAAAGTAAGGTTTATAACCAAAGCTGCAGTTGGTATTTAGCTAAACAAATCGTAGGATAGATAGATAGATTGAGAGACCTCTATATCATTTTTGTACTCTCCAGTGGAATTTTCAATGAACCGTTCTTTTATTATCATACAATAGTGTATTATTTATCGTTAGAATAACTTACTATCATATTCTGTGTGAAGCTATGACAGCATAAACTTTTTAATAGTTTCAATACATGTGGAAAAAAGTAAGGATATGGCAGACACGTTTTGTACAACATTCATCTATTTCATGACATTAGCAGGCTTTTAAACTCACTGCAACAACAACAACAAAAAATTGGTTGATTTAAAACTTCTTGCCCCCCAGTAGCACAGTGGTATGTCTGCGGACTTACAACGCTAGAAACCGGATTTCGATACCCGTGGTTGGCAGAGGACAGATAGCCGATTGTGTTGCTGTGTGCTTAATTCCAAACAAACAAAACTTCTTATGTATTATCTTGCTACTTTTCTTAATATATCGTTGATCTCAGGACATTTTATTTATGTGGATACTTGGCTTGAAACATAATAGCCCCCTAATATATTTTGTAAATATTAGGAAGCCATTTGGGTACGCCACTATTAACTGTTAGTTTTTGTGTATTTTTAATGAACTAAATGCATTTTATATAGATATAGTAATTTCTTACAACCTATGATGGTAAATTATTTCTCAAAACAATGTCAAAAAGATATTTAAATCTTAATAAGACATGGTGTCTACCTTCAATTTGGTTTGATTAATACTTGATCGTATTTGAATTCTTTGTAGATACATTGTGTAATATAAAATACTTGGTGATATAATAACATTAGTTTAAAAATTATTTCAGGTACTTTATGGAAATAATATGATTTAAAGGAACGGTCATCGTACATTTCTCCCATCTGTTAACATTTTCTTCTTTCTGAAGAGATACATTGTTGAATGAGGTATTCATACTACCTCTCCACGCGAATTTTAAAATATTTACCGTATAGTACCTGTATTCATTTTTACTGTGCACGTGTAATTATAATACTGCATTTATCACAGTTTGAAACTATGTAGAAAGTTGTTTTGGCCTAGTATACGCATTAAGTTATTGTATTTATCATTTGTATTGATAATTATTGATACATTATTAAAATACATTGCTGTATGCACGCTAATTCTATACTGGAGCTGCAAAGCTGCTTATATATATTTACATTTTGTGAATTACAATTGCACACAACTCTAATAACTGTGTTTGGTTTCATGCTCTCGTAATGATAACAAATGTTAAGCTAATGAGCTACATAGCCAGTCCAACATTAATTATCTGGTTACGATAAAAAATACTTTATTATGTAAATAAATGGGCAATGAAATTAAATGAAAATAAAAATAAATGAATATATAAAACGTTTTGTACGTTATATTAAAACGATTTTTAATTTACAAGTCAGCAAGTCGCGTGACAATCAGAGTCACAAATTTATTGCTTTTGGGAAGGGTATGTAACAGCCCTTTTCGACACAAAATATTTATACATTTAGGTCATAAAGACGTGTTTAGATCGAGGGTTTAAAATTTCGAAGACTGGAATATCCGTTGTACTTAATGGCATTGGAAAATCCACGGGATATGAAAGAACTTGAGGACCCGGGAACATCCAGGAAGAATCCTGCAACAAATCGCATCTCAACTTTAATAAGAAAAGTGCGATGTCATGTGATAAATGAAAATCTACGAACTAAAAAGTCAGGGGCAAAATCCTTCCATGTTTTAGACTCGCCGTCTGGAAAAGCGACACAAGTTACGGCTACATAACTGTTAGTTCTACGAAAAATGCGTTCAACGCGTTGTATACCTTAATGAGCTAGATAATTAAACGTGTATCCATGCTACTCCGTACAAACATTTACCACTTAAATTCCGTATGGATTGTTGTGCTATCTGAATATTGAAAAAGGCAATGGAAACCATTTTTACTTAGCCTAGATGGCTTGTAGAAAGCAAACATGGAGGAGTAGTTCGCTTTGGATATGACATTCTTAAGACGAAGACTTTTGCTACGGACCATACGCTGTAAGGCTATTGTGAGGATGCAAAGTCATCGGATAAGACATGTCCGGACGTGACAACATGGACTGTAACGACACTCACAAGCATCATATAATTTTAGTATAACATATTCAGGCATCTGTATATATGTTATATATTAAGTATTTACCACACAACACCTTTTCTAATTAAACGAAATTCGAAACGATTTTATAGTTTTATTAGCTAATATATTGTTTAATATTTTGTCCTAACAACACATGAAATAATTTTAGATCTTTTATGATAATATTTAAAGTTAATTAAATCATATTTTCAATATCAATTAAAAATTAATTTTCATTCCATGCCAGATTATTAGATTTACAAAACCTTCGGTAAACCCTTTGAGTTTTAGAAATATGATATCGATATCGTATCTTATTCGTATATCAGCCCGCTTCTTTGCATTCATTCACAAGTGTGTGTAATGGTCCAGCATCTTATAAACTATACCTGATAGTTGTTCAAAATATAATTGCTACAATTTCAAAGGCCGACTAAAATAAGATGAAATTCTTTTAATAGTTTATGAACTGAATTATTATTTATAATATATATATATATTAAATTTTTCAAATAAAATGTTTAGTTTGAAATCTTGTTACTCTACTTATCTTAATTTTTTGTTGTTAACTTTTTGTCCTTAACTATGAGGAGGGGTAAGAAAGGGACGAATGAAAGGAATATTTTTTTCTTTCTGTTACACATGATAATGGAACCAAACTCATCTGTACCAGATTGTACTATCCCATTTTAATTTTTGATATAATAAAAATTTACAGATTAGTCTAGTCTACTGAAACCTTATTATTTTTAAACCTACAATCGTAAGATTGAAGAATTTAGTTTTAATATAGGCGTATTGAATATGATTATCTCTTTGAAAGTTAAATATTTTATTTGCTCTGTCCTTAACTAATAAAAATCGCATTTCATTGATAATACGATCAAACTAAGAATTTTATATTTCGAAGCCTTTTAATAATTTTTTTCATGCCCTCCAGTGGCACAACCGTAAGTCTGCGAACTCATAATGCGAGAAATCTGGTTTCGATCCCCCTCGTGGGCAAAGCACAAATAGCTCATTGTGAAGCCTTATGCTTAATTATAAACAAACAAACAAAATTTATTCATAGTGACTGTTCGTTGTTTTTCTTGTGTTTATCTATATTAAACTAGTTAGGAAATTTTACGTTTTGTAAATTATTGTTTACTTCTGCATTTACTGTAGAGTATAATCATCTTAACATTTGCAGTTTGCTATAGTATATTTATATATTTTAATTCGTTTAATTTACTACATTTAATAACGAATTTGTAAATAGTCGATATGTAAAGCTTTGTATTTCATTCTTTTCTTGCAAACAGTAAACAAATCAGGGTTATTAAATATATATATATATATATATATACCTACTTATCCTAGGGGGAAATTTTTATTACAGCTACATTGAAAATTATATGTTTTTTGTACAGTTTTTTTTTCGAAACCATATTAATTTCATTTTTCGCATGGAAGCATTGATTTTTCGCAAATAGTTCTTATAGGTTAATTTTTGCTCAGCTGTAAACTAGAGGGCTTATAACGCTAGAATATAGAGCTCGAATCCCGCAGCGAACACTACAAAAATAGCTCATCAAGTTTTTTAACTGCAAAGCTCGAAAATGATTAATTCTACATGCACTAAAATATAATTAAATCCAAAATATTATTTTGCTTGACTACTAGAAAAATTTACAATGAGAAATGGAGATATTAAAAATACCAGACAAACATTAAAACGTTTTTGGAAAGATACTACAATTTTTCATATTCCAAAAAAAAGACTTAAAATGTTGGTCGATATTGATGGTAAATATTAAATCTCGTTTGTTATCTATAATATTATATAATTATAACATAATCTTTCAGGAAAGCCAAAACCTTCTTTAACATGGTGGAAAGACTTTGAGCTTATTGATGATTCTTATGAAGTAACACCACAAGAAATTACATTTAACCAGCTTCATGTTCCTACTCTTCATCGAAATGACCTTATGTCAAGTTTTACCTGTGAAGCTTTAAATAATAACTTATCTCTTCCGATATCTACTTCTGTCAAAATCGACATGAATTGTAAGTACGCAATGCGCATATTTTTTACTGTTAACCACACTTCGATAGTAAAACTTATTATCATTTGTATAACAGATATAATCAACGTTATTGATAGTTTATTTATTTGTAAAAAATTTAGTTATTTTCTGCCATAAATGAGGATTTGATTCAGAAAAGTCGAAATATATTCTATGCTGTTATACATCTAAAACTTTTATAGCTGTTTTCAATGTAGAGATCTCACGTGTTGTTAATGTTTTCATGTGTACAGTAAACACGATAAGATCGTGTTTATGAATTTATTTGAATTTCTTACTTTAGTTGATTTAGTTGTTGATATAGAAAACGTCATAAATAAATTTTGAATTTATTTTAAGCATTATATATGTTTTCTTAACCAAAAAGCTCTGTATATCCACATCTGTGCTTTACATGGTTTTAATTACACTTTTAATTTACATCTTATGTATTACCTAGTGAAACCTATCCAACTGGATATAGAGGGTGCTTATGAGCCTCTCTCTTCTGGAAAACTAACAGAACTGCAATGTAGAACATCAGGATCAAGACCACCTGCTACAGTAACCTGGTGGAAAGGAAACAGGAAACTCAAACGAACAAAAAACTGGGCAACACATAACGGAAATGTCTCTATTAGCACCCTGACATTCCAACCATCTCTAGAAGACAATGGAAAATATCTCTCATGTCGGGCGGAAAACCCCAAAATAACTAATAGTGCAATAGAAAATGGGTGGAAACTTGAAATACATCGTATGTCTAGAATATATAACATTTTGTATTTAAATGTTATAGCAACATCAGAAGATAGTTAACACTTCATTTATTGGCAAGATAAAGTTTAATTCAGTTACTTTTTATTTTTCAAGAAGTCCTTACCCCTTACCAAAAGTATGTAAAATGACAAGATTCTTTACCAATCATGTTTCTTTTTTTTTCCATTTATTCTGCTAGTGATATTGAATTAAACTCAGCTGAAACGTACAAAGTAATTTGATATAGAATGTGATTTTATATTGCAAGATATTTAAATTGATAATAATATCATATGCAGACTCTCATGTAATTTTGCACATGCACCATAACCCAAGAAAAAAAAGATTAAGATAAATTAAAAAAAAAAATACTCATTATCATTTTTATCTAATAATTTAATACAACTTCGCATGTTTATATTTCATGGGGCAAATTATTATATATTTTTCATTACTAAGTGCCTAAAATATCTTCTTTATAAGATTTTAATATTTATTGAATAAAAAAAAATGTTTCGTTTTTTGTGTGTATGTTTACAAATATTTCACCGGCTATTTTTTTCAGATGTTCCAATACTTTCTCTTCGCCTTGGGAGTAAATTAAGACATTCTCACATACAGGAAGGATATGACATTTATTTTGAATGCGATATTATCGCAAATCCGTGGGTAACAGATATGAGTTGGGAGTTTGAGAGGAAAGAACTTAGTACGAATACATCAGTAGGTGTGATAATTAGTAACCAGTCTCTTGTTCTACAGAATGTGAACCGGTCTAGCAGAGGGCGTTATACTTGCAGGGCAACAAATGCACAGGGCGAAGGTGTAAGCAACCCTCTTCATTTGAAAGTTCAATGTAAGTTACCTTCCAGACGCTTCATTAATTGTAACACGTTTTATGTGTGAATGTAACATATGGTCAGAAAAAAAAATTAAAGATGAGATCGTCAGTATCATAATAAAGAATATCAAGTGAGTTTGCAATTTGATGAAACAAGTTTTTTTCATCAGAATGGCAGAATAAAAACATGCCCCCAGTGGCACAGCGGTATGTCTGTGGACTTAAACGCTAAAAACCAGGTTTCGATACCCATGGTGGGCAGAGCACAGATATCTAGCTCATTGTGTAGCTTTGTGCTTAATTACAAACAAAAACATGATTGTGTGTGATCTTGCTAGAAACTCTTTTATGAATCAGAAAAAAAAAGTTTTAATTCATTCTGTAAATATATACTCATAAAATTGACAGAAAAAAATAGATATTAACCTTATTTATGAACGCCTTAATAACTTACTCTTCACGTAAATGTTTGAATAACATATCTTCCCATTGGTCAAACTGCGAATGTTTTTTTGAAAGCAATGAGGATTTGACAGTTCCATGGTTCTCTATCCAATAATATTAAAACAATAAAGCCAGGCACATACAGACGAACAAAAATAACTACATTTAAATAAGTAAAAAGTTATTACTCCAAAAATAAACAGTTTATTTAAGAATATGATTTTATTTTGATATGTTATTTCTGTATTTATGTGAAAGTTTAAAAGCTTTGTACTCAGTAAAACTACCCTACATGCTTCGACGGTTTCCTGTCTTCATTAGGAGTGTAATTGCAAGTTGAGAATACTCCAGTTTATAACCTACAGACACATCACGTAAAACATATTTACATTTTTTTTTAGTAAAAACGTTTTTCAATCGTGTGAAGTCAAACTTTGTCTGCTTTATTTATTGTATTTAAGTACACTTCTTATTTTTGTTTACATGCTGAACACAATTGATAAAATTAACTTGAGATAAAACTCTTCAGTCTGTTGGTGAATTACAACTTTATATTCAGTTTAAAAAAGGCTATTAAAATAATATTCAAAAATATAGCTTTGCATATGAAAGATAACATTGAAACTACATGTGAATGTATAAATATGCTCAAACATAGTGAGTTTATAAATGATAATAAATTGTATATGAGAATGAAGATGTAATTAACAATGACATTTCTAAATGGTTGTTTTATCCGATTTTGTAGCTCAGCCACTTTGCAGCAAGCCTTCATAAGCTAGAATTAAAACGTGTTATTTTTGATGTAAAAGAATAAACGAAAGTCAAACATAATTTTAGACAAGTGAAGTAATAGTTAATCTACAAAATAAAAATAAACATACATACCACCCTTAATTAAATACTGATAATATAACATCACTAAGCAAACAAGAATTAGGCAAAATAGAATACTTAATTTCAAATAAATGTGTCATTATTTTACAACAACAAAAGCAGAATAAAGATGAAAAAGTAAATTATTTAATTAAAAAGTCAATAAAAAATACTTTCTGGTTTACAATAACGATGTCATAAACCATGAAAAGTATTACATTTATTGCGTCATCAAAAATGGTGTGTTACAAAACGTAGAGAATAGGTAAAGTGACACAATTTGTATTTATCGTAAAGCTACAATAGGTATCTACCGCCGTTCCTAATTTTCAACTAATGAGCACAAAGAAGGCAGCTATTCAGCAGCACTGTAAACCCACCATCCGCGCTAAGAGATTAACTATCATTTTTATAGCGCACCCAAAGCTTAAAGTGAGGGGAATATTTTGTGGTATTGCACGAATTCGAACCCATCTCACAAGTTGCGAAATCCAAAGTTTACCTCAGAGCCAACCCATGTCACAAATAAAAGAATCGATAACATTTTTAATTAACGAAATGGTTAAAGTAATGAAGTTACATAAAGTCACAAAACTGTGTGATAAGTTCAACTCAGAACAGATATACAGCAGGTAAATACAAAATTTAACTGTCTTTACTCAAGGTTATCAAATGACACTGTATCTCACTATATTACATTCTGGATATCATTAAAACAAACCTTTGACCTCCACCTAAAGAATGTAAAAGCTTTTTTACTCTATATCACATTGATCTTCTAGTTATACGCTATGCTACACGTAACTCTGTGACATTAGCAGAAAACTGATAAGGCGAGTTGGATAACACTTCAATGGAAATTTCTCGTATTTCCTACAAATTTCCATTGAAGTTTAAGCAAGACATATATTTTGTCTTTCTCTTTATAAAGTATGAACTAGTTTTGAATGTTATCAGAGGTTTTGAATAACACTGAGGTAATATATAAATTATAACCAATTTTTCTCATGTAACGTCACCCTGTACTTCAATATAAATTAGTTATCTGTACATTATAAGAGAGCATATTTGTGCAAGTTAATTATGATTAAAATTAGATTCCATTAAAAAAAATAACATGTCTTCAGAATGTACCTGTTGTCACTTAGCTTGGGATAGTAACGCTTTAGTGGGTGAAATATAGAATTATGTATATTTTGCTGGAATCATCCTTGGACAATATAAGAAAATACCTAACTCCTGTCACACATCGATCTAATCTACTAAGTATAGATATACGTCTAGTAATTGAATAATGAATTTGGGCTTAGTTTACGTCTTTCCACATTACTATTTATTCTTAAGCTAGTAAATTGGCAAACAATTAAAATCAGGTAATCGATATTGACTAGATTGATATCATGAGCTTCGTTTATAAATGTTTCTATCTGTGGCTCTCTTTAGACGGATACAACTGTTAGAAAATTGTGAAATAAATGATGTACTTGGAAGTAACAAGATTATTATTGGCTTAATTATTTATAATTATCCTTGGTCGATTATCAAGTGAAATCCTTTAAGGACTTTAATGGTTGTAGTAGAGCTTTTTGTGGTTTATATATATTTGCTAAGTTTCATTATTATTGTCAGTCTTGTACAATAATCTCTTAATTGATAGAAATGTCTTCTAAAATTATATCTGGCCTTGAAAGGAGTAATTTTGGTTTACGTTACTATGTATTTAATTTTTCTCCGACTATGTTTAATATTATGTTCAAATTTGTGTCTTAGGATTTCGTAATGCTAAGTTAGAACAAAAATCGGAAAATTACTTGACATGATGAGATCAATGAAATTGTTATCCATTCGAATGATTGTTTTTTTAAATTATTTATTAACAAAGATGTCGTTCTAATCAAACTTCTCAATTACTAACACTTATCAATTATATATATATATATTGCTTGTTTTAAGCTTAAATAATTAAAGTATTAAACGCTAACAAGAATAAATATTGATATGTATAATAAAGTTCTAGGAAACTGTAAACAAATCTTACTTATAAACGCATATTTCAAATACTGTGAATTTGTTCAACTCGGCGAACCTTTGAGTAACAAATAAGTACCAGCTAGTTTATAAGTATTGACAATCACATGAATAAATACATTTTACACTGCTTTAAAGAAGACTATGAGAAACTGTGAAAATATACGAAAGTAATATATATATAATACTTAGATCATTCTTCTACGAAACTAATATATATATAATACTTAGATCATTCTTCTACGAAACTAATATATATATAATACTTAGATCATTCTTCATTTGTCTACCGTAGAAAAACTGAGTCTATTTGCTTTTATACGCTAATCCTTGTCGTCTGTTATTTTCTGTAGTTGCACCAACATGTAGAAACAACCAGAAATCTGTCTATGGGGCTGCCCGTCACGAGACTGTAAAGATTTTTTGCGATGTCGAAGCCGATCCGATTGATGTAAAATTTCAGTGGAGATTCAACAATACGAAAGAGGTTTTAGACGTTACAACATTTGAAAATAAAGAAACAAGAAGCATAGCTACGTTTTCACCAAGAGGAGATGGTGACTATGGAACAATACTTTGTTGGGGAAAAAACTCTGTTGGGACACAGAAGAAACCGTGTGTTTTCAAACTTGTTCCTGCAGGTACAAAACTTACTTTTATTTCTTCCATAACAGCAAACAGGTAGATATTTGGTTAAATGAGTTTCGTATTATTAGCTGTAGAAAATATAAATGAAATTTTGCACATATTTTTAGATCTTAAGGTTTCGTAGTCATATGCTATACTCAAAATTACAAAATTTGCGAAAACTTTTATGAACGGCAATATCCTTCTTTTAGTGTTAGAGTTCAAAGTTTTGAGTAATTTGAAACATTTCCTCTAGACTTTTGTATTATATAATCATACATGAATGAATAAACCTTACTCTGTGATATTGCATGCCAACTTACAGCCTTACTGGAACACTCGAATCTTGTGATTAATCTAATGCTTGATAAATATTAAATTTACAAAAGTTTAACTAAAAGTTTCAGTGGTATTTCAGAAGTAATCAACTTTATTTTATACAGATAACTAATTTTAAGCATATAAAGTGAAGCGAAGAGAAGCTTATCAATATTGTATATGAAACTAAGTTGGTCATAATGTCCTCTTAGAAATGTATGACGTAACACAAAAAGTACATTACATTCTATACCGTTGCCGTTTCGCTATATATGTGCAGACAGAAATAAGCTGAGTCGTATAATCTGTTATGATAGATCCCCTTACGTAGCGGGGCATGGCATGCATATGGAAAGTTTGGTTCTTGTAATAAAAAGATCTTCAGATAGGAAGAATCCACATCTTTTATTGGCATTCAATATAATATATTTGGTAGTTTATGGATTCCTAGTAACTCCAGTTCATTTGTTTGGTAATACAGAATATTGAATATATGTACGAACACATAAAATCTATTAGATAATTCACGATGACAAAATGTAAAAGCCTCAAGTCTCCGACACTATGTATGCATTAAAAATGAAACTCAGAAGGAAATTTCAGAAGGAAAATATAAACTTCAATTAACAAGCACAAATGTAATAGAATATCAGCTGGATTAATTTTAATAAGATGTTAATTTCTTTTCTATTCTGATCACATTTGAGGAATACTTCGTATAGACTAAACGCTTTTAATCATGTTAATTACCAATATTACGATATACAATCTTTCAAGCATTTCTTTGAAAATTTTGAATTTTTACGGAAATGAGAATTTTGATGTGTGTGTGATAATAATCATGTTGTCGATATTAAAGTATTTATGTCATAATACATTACGTTATATTAATTTCACTGATAACCTCTGAAATTAGTTTTCATAAACTCAATTTATAATTAGAACTATCTATAATAAATACAACTGTATGCTTATAATTGAAACTATATAATATATTTTTGCGTGTTTACAAAAAAAGAATGTGATAACTAATAAATACAAGGTATATATTGTCCACTATTGGAAAATAGTCATGATATATTAATCAGTTTCATCTGTTTTTATTACAGTAATCATGTTTGAACTTGGGAGAGAGAGCTTGTATTTTTCGACCCCATTGACCTCAGATAATTAGGGTATGAAATATGTTTTTTTAACGTGAACTGGTCTGTTTCCTGTATCGTATTATATCGTTGTACGATCTTAACTTTTCAGGACCACCAGATGCTGTTGCCAATTGCTCTCTTCAGAATCAAACAGAACATTCTATTGAATTAGAATGTTCCGAAGCTTATAATGGAGGACTAAGCCAGCACTTTATAATGGAAGTACACGATACAACTTTGCACAAACTTAGAGCTAACATATCCTCACCAGAAGCCAGGTTCTACGCCACAGGACTTCCGTCTGGAACAAAGTTTGTCGTTATAGTTTATGCTGTGAACGCCAAGGGACGAAGTAATGCTCTTGTTCTTCGAACCAGCACGTTAGCAGCACCTCAAAAACAATCACATAGAGGTAAGGTAAATATTATTTTAACAATAGGTGCATAGTGATAGGAAAATGCCAATACTGAAAGCACTACATAACATATCTGTAAAATGAAGTTATTCCTGCAATTAAGATAATATAAGCAGTAGTTTTTTATTGGATTATTAAAATTAAAGACTATTTACATTATTTTGTTTTGTTTAATTTGTATAAACTACGAGTCAGAAATTAATTAATCGAAAATTATACTAATTCAAAGCAAAGCAAAGTTAGAATCTCTCTCTCTCTCTCCATCTCTCTCTCTATATATATAATATATGTATGTGTATTAAAAGTGTATTATTCATTATTATGTTAATTATGATTTTGTAATGATGTATTTTAAATTCTAAGTGTAGGTCAATGGCAAATACCGAAACACAAAATACGGAAAAGGGAAACTTCGTTTTTGCACTTCTCACTTTGCCCCCCAGTGGCACAGCAGTATGTCTGCGGACCTACAACGCTAGAAACCAGGTTTTGATACCCTTGGTGGGCAGAGCACAGATAGCCCATTGTGTAACTTTGTGCTTAACTTCAAACAAACAACCTTCCCACTTTTATTAATAAAACATAGTAATTATTATATTTTATATCTTCATCTAGATTTGTATGTTGATATTTTCAAACATCTATTTTTATCATTCAATTCAAATATGTTGATATATATATTTATTTATTTATATATTTGTTTTTATTTTTTTCAGAAACTGTTTGGCAAATGAATTTTAGTCCCGTTCTGGTAATTTTGGTTGCCGTTGTTGCTGGATTTGTACTTGTAGCGTGCATAATTGTGGTAGGCATAAAAGCTAGAGCAAAATATCATCACCCGGAAGGTACGAAAAGTTACCTTTGCGTACTATGTTTTAAAATTATATCAAGCGTAATATACTTTTATTCTACAATTTTTAAGTTTTTTTGTTTTGTAACTAAGCATCTATTGTGACAAGTGTTTGTACTGTGGATTTCAAAGGAACAGCCGACCTTACACCCTCCCTAAAAAAAAAGGACAAAGTGCAATGGTCATTACGTTTCCTCAATTATGGTTTAACTTCTTTCTTATTCTTGTTTGTTTCCAAGCATCATAAAAGTCATGTTCAAGGTATTTAAATTCAGGTTATTTTATCCAACAACTGGTAAGTTTGGGAGCAACGTTTAAATATTTCCAGACTTTGAAAAGAGCAGCATTTATAGTTTACTTGTTCTGTCAAAAACTGATATTTTGGAACAGTTCAAGAAAACTTTTATATGAAATATTACATACCGGAGGACACAGCAAGATGAATAATTAATATTTCCATATTATGTTTCTGAAAATGGTAGCTATTGTTGATAAGTTTTACTCTTCATCATACATAGTAAATTATTTTTAAATAGTGAATTACCTACTAAAGTATAATCACTTGTTAAGTAATCTTAAAAACCTTTACATTTGACTGCTTGTTTGAGTAAACAGTATATTTTAACACATGACTGTCAATATTTGTGTATATGTGTTATATCTGCTTATGTTTGCCATATTTGTTGAAGATGCACCTAGAAGAAAATAATTTCAAAACATCTGAATCTTTACAGTAGAATGGCAAACCTTATCACAAAACATTTTCGACGAATAAAGATCCCATGAATTTACACATCAGTCACTATTCACTATTGAATAGGATTTATAAGGTCGCCAACTGTTATAGATATCCAATCGGAGTTAAATGGTACAAGATAAAGATCTTAAAACTTTCAAAAAAGAGTATACTGTTGTTAGATGCAGCATTGGCGAAATGAGTGTTCGAGAATTTTTTTCTTTCCACTTGGATGTAAACATACTGTAACGGAAATAATTATCTAAGCTCTGAAGCAATACACATACAGGAAGCACAAACAACGAATATTGACAACTAGGAGATGGATTTTTAATGGTACAAAATATTATCAGATATATTAACGTTTCTTTCATTCCAAAGTCAGAAATGTGATATTCATAGCTTTTTTATCCATATGGATAACATACATATAATAACAAAAAGTACACTGGCTGCAGTTCCCACTAAGGTTACTTATGTTAACTTGTTAAAAATTGGGTTAATCGTTCTTAAATAATTATGGCATAATATACTTGAAATATTTAATAAACAACTGAATATTATTTTTACGGAAAACCTGAAGCTAAATATGCAATACAAGTTTTTTTTTACACAGGTTAAAAATATTTGTCTTTCTTGTTTTACACTCGCTCTGCAACTTGATAGAGAAATGAAACGTTTCTCTCAGAAATTTGACATAATTGTTAAACTTAATTACCTGTAGATAGGTTATGTTTATGCTAGGGTTGAGACAAGTAGAAAAACGGACACTTCTAAAATTGTTAATATTATTCTTTGTCGTCCCTTTAAATGTTTATAAATACTAAACTCGTAAACTCTCAAACATAATATTATTATTTCTTACTTCATTATGCTCTATTATTATACTTGTTGCTTAGACTGAAGAATCAGGTATATGATTGTTCATCGTACGAAATGAAACCCATATTAATTTCACATAGTAGAAATATATATCGTATGTTACACATGGAATCGTTAACCATCATTCCAATGTAGACACGTACGTGTGTGTGTATATTTGTTTTATACAACCGAGGTAGTATGGCTAGTAGAATGAACCATGCAATAATCTAACATATTTATTTGAACTATAATATTTGGTGTTTGGCTTATACCAATAACTGGTGTTATTTAGATACCAGATCTGCTAAGACTAATGTTCACGACGGAAATGACGTAGTAAACCACAAGAAACCAAACGGACTTAGTGAAACATTTTCGAGTTGGGAGCCTGTTGACAGCGAGAAAGTAAGTTCTAAGTTACCTGTGCTTATATGATACATTCAAACCTTTGTATTGTCCAGAACATTATTTAAAGATCCATTTTAACTAACTACTCCAAACAAGTTACGGGTCTCTAATAAATTATTATATTAGGTTTATTCGGATGTTTTGTATTCTACAGCAGAGAAGCATGTTTTAACACCAAAGCTAATAATGAGAATTAGTATTAGTGATTTGCTTCGTATTGTGAGAAACTTAAAATTTCTCTGTATAAGTTGTCAGTATTATCATACATTTTGGAAATCATTTCTTAATTTTCACTTTCATAATAGCATCTGTTACTAAGTTGTTTTCTCGAAGTGAAAATATTCTAAAATTATATATGTATATACGAGAATACATGTATATATTTGCTGCCATAGACTTAATATTGACGCAGAGTGATTTTTATCAAAATCATATTTATTTTCAGCAATTAAAGAAAGAAAATCAATGCACTGACAAAGTGGTAATTCATAACAGGCACACTAAAAATTAGTTTAGAGAAACAAATACTATATATGGACTACAGTTTTATCGACATAGCTTGATAATCACTATAGAGAAGAGGTATTACTATTTGATCAAGATAATTTACAACTTTTGTGTTAATTACTGGTATCGCTTTTGGTGGTTTAGAATTAAGTCTGAGGGCTTATAACTCCAAAATTCGGGGTTTAATACCAGTAATAGACAGAATACAAGTATCCCATTGTATAGCTTTGCGCTTAACAACAAAAACACAACAATTATTGATATCAACATGCATTGTTTTCGGGTATTCACTTATTTATCATGAAATATTTAGCATGTGAAGAAATAGGGCGATGCTACACAATGACGTATTTATAAATCAAAATGCAATTATGAAACTTTTATTCGCTTCTAGATATATATATATATATTTGTTCTCTGTCTCAGATTATACATACATGACTGCTACGTAGCGTTCGCTAAAAGCATATATATATATATATAATTAGTCTCAAACCCTATAGATTAATGTGTTCCTAATGTTAGCTACACAGGGTTGATTTATTTGTTCGTAGATAGATGCGTTTTGCTAATGTCAAGCCTAATGAACTATTGCAGTTATGCAAGAATTGATTTGAATCTAAAAACTTGTTAATAGAGATAAAGTAATAAGTTTAAAAGCATCCATTATTTCTTCGTCGAAAATAAATTTAAACAACAGTCTGTAAAGTCTTGTGCTTATTGGCTCATTACGATTCTATGAACTGAAATCGTTTTGTAATATGCCGCGATTTATTTTTATATATTTGTCTTTAAAAAAAGGTGAAGTAATGGAGAAATCTGTTAAAATTACACGATAATATTATAGTACCCAAATATCAAATATGTGTTAGAACTTCTTGTAACTTCTTGTTCATCCGTATAATGTTTACCAAATAATGCTCATGTGATCTGTTTCTAACGTCTTTCTTATTATCTGGCAACAGCTGAAAACAGATATGTTAAGTGTATAATAGAACAACAATGCCGAGCTTCATACTACATTAACGATTTTTTTTTCTTATCTCCATTTTTACAATATTATTTTAAGTATCTAGGTTTGAAATATCTTTATCTATTAGAATGATGGGTGGAAGATGGAGAGTTATTATAAAGCCAATTCATGGCCCGGCATGGCCAGGTGGTTAGGGCACTCGACTCGCAATCTGCGGGTCGCGGGTTCGAATCCTCGTCACACCGAAACATGCCCACCCGGTGTCCGGACTAGGACGCAAGTCCTACTCCCGGATACTCACCTCCAAAAGAATCGACATTTTGCAGAGGGTATTTTACACACATCTTTAGAATCTCTTGGCACCTGCATGTTATATTTACATAATTTTTCTTGAACGTGGAGGCATT